TTGACTCAGCCTCAAATGAGTACCCGGGGTGGTGCTGGCCACCCACCCACTCGTGTACCGTGACGGCCTTCATAGCTCCTCGCTTGCCCCAAAAGTCTGTTAAGGCTATACGGGGGATCTTTGTCTTGTTACCAGGTTATGGTAAAACGGGCAGTTCAGGACCAGTTCAGACATCACTCGCCACTGATGTTAACCGTGATGCGGAATCAAACGCAGGCAATTACTGCGCCACCGCTCCCCACATTAGAGAGAGAGATTGTAGATGCAATGGTGTTTTAAAAAGGTACAGAGATTATTCAATCCAGAGTCGCGCAGCATGGTAATTAGTCAATGAGACCCTCCCCAAAGCGGGGGGAGGGGGGTTATTCAACCTTACTTCCCCACACTGGTCAGTGCGGAGCCCACAGTATATACACACACGTACAATGGGAATCTCCATGAGAGAGGTTTTTTTGGGGGTTAGATCGCATAAATATAAATGTCTGGTTAAATCCGACAACACTCGACACATTTTAGTGAGGTTTGTCACGGAAACAAACAAAGCATGCAAATTCGTCGCCAGTACAGCGCACCGATGTGTTGGAGAGTAAACCCACGACATTTTAGGGGGTTTACACAAATGTGATTCTCTGCACTGCTGCCCTCTGCTGCCTGTAGGACACGCGGACACGCACGGTGGTCAAACCTGCCCAGGCTCAGACCTGCGCGTCTGCCGAGGTCTGAGATGGTCCTAAGGCTAAACGTACAGTCGTAAAATGCGTACCATATTACTGTGCATATATCTGTGACATTCTCCAATATGGGATATATGATGTAACTACACACTACATGTATCTTCCAATGTATTTCGATACAATATTTAACATGCCAACGAATTGACATGTTTTGTTTACGTAACAAACCATATACATTGCCTGTGTCGGGTGGTGGCGGGTTTAACGACACATTTATATTTACGCGATCTAACAAAAGAAAAACCTCTATTTTGGATTTTAAAAAAACATTACAAATTTCTACCGAACTACGATGTATCTATACTCTGTAGGTACTTTGAATTACCTCCCATGTATTCATAGTCATCTACGTCTGTCGTGTAGATGTGCGTCTTGATAACACACAATCCCCACAGCCCCTACACCGTCTCTCCATCAGTGCGTGCGTGTTTATCATCTTAACACAATATCTCTAACGTCGCTATAACATCTTCATTACACCCATCTCGAGATCATTCATATCCATCGATAGCATTTGAGTAACACCTCTCGATATAAGGCGTCTCTGGTGGAGCGGTGGCACATTGGTTAGCGCACTCCGCACCGTCGACCCGAGTTCGACTCCCGGCCACGGCTATAATGACATCAATGGTGAGTGACATCTCAACCGAGCCTGGGTCTGATCACCTTCAACCAACCCGCATTGACCGGAGTGGTGAAGTAGGGTCACTGTGCAGTGGTGGGGGGCTCATCCAGCAGTGGATTGACAAAGGGGCTGTACATCAGCGCTCTCCTCCACACCCCTCCCCCGTCTCCCCGCTCCCTCTCCCCTCCCTCTCCCCTCCCGTTCTCCCCGATCCCTCTCCTCCCATCCATCTCCCTGTAAGAGCCCGAGGCGGCTTGTTTGACAGCGAGGTGATGAGAGCGGAGGGACGCAACGAACGGGCATTTAGCTCTCCCAACACACACACACTCGCACACACACACACACACAGTCTCACATACACACTCACACACACTCCCACACACACACACACAGTTTCACATACACACTCACACACACAGTCTCACACACTCACACACACTCGCACACACACACAGTCTCACACTCTCACATACACATACACACTCGCACACACTCGCACACACACACAGTCTCACACTCTCACATACACACACACTCACACTCGCACACACACACAGTCTCACATACACACTCACACACACTCGCACACACACACTCGCACACACACACTCTCACATACACACTCACACACACTCGCACACACACACAGTCTAACAGTCTCACATACACACACTCACACATAGTCTCACACTCTCACATACACACTCACACACACTCGCACACACACACACAGTCTCACACTCTCACATACACACTCACACACACTCGCACACACACACAGTCTCACACTCTCACATACACACACACTCGCACACACACACACACAGTCTCACACACTCACACACACTCGCACACACACACACAGTTAGTCTCACACTCTCACATACACACACACACTCGCACACACACACAGTCTCACACTCTCACATACACACACACTCACACTCCCACACACACACACAGTCTCACATACACACTCACACACACTCGCACACATACAGTCTCACACTCTCACATACACACTCACACACTCGCATACACACACACACACACAGTCTCACATACATACTCACACACACTCGCAGACACACACTCGCACACACACTCGCACAGACACACACAGTCTCACATACACACTCGCATACACACACAGTCTCACACTCTCACATACATACTCACACACACTCGCACACACACACTCTCACATACACACACACTCGCAGATACACACTCACACAGTCTCACACATGCACACTCGCACGTACACTCACACATTCACAATGCGCACTCACACAGTCTCACACACACACACTTTCACACACACAGTCTCACGTACACACACACATACATTATCGCGTACACTCACATACTCACAATACGACTCTCACACACTCTCACATACACACACAGTCTCACATCAAGATCCCCCGTATAGCCTTAACAGACTGTAGGGACAAGTGCTGTTAGAAAGCACCTATAAATGCCGGCATGGCACACGAGGGGGTGGGTAGCCAACACCACGCCCGGCCGCCTTTGTCTCCCTAGTGGCGATGTTTACACACCGCACCAGTTACTCATTTGAGGCTGAGTCGGTTCAGATAATCGCCACTGGGTGTTGGCCGTGAGCGGGAACTCGGGTGGCCAGGTTCGTAGCGCAACGCGCTAACCGCTACACGACCTCAACGACACACACACATCTTGACTTAAAGCTTTCGTGACTGCAGGAATTCATATTATGCGGGTCTTTCGGTAAAGTCACGTGACTTTACCGAAAAACCCAAAGACTTTACACACACACACGATGCTGACATTGGCTAAGGTACCTTGAGGATTCTTAGAATTTAGTGTCATCCAATGCTCACATGATTCTTCAGAGTTCATTGTGTCAATGCCCAGTACTCAGCCAGAATGCAGATATGCATAGCTGCGGACAGCCAAGGTGTGCGTGTTTCTCTAACATCTCTCCATGGGTGTCTCACAATGGCCGTGCCAGCACCAGTGGGGTTGCCATCTCCTCCAAGCACCACACCGTGACGTGTTGCTTAGTCAGCCTAAGGTCTATCAACACTGCAGTATCCTGTGATAAATTTCAACACAGTGCCACCAGACCTCGATACAGATCAATTCCTGCCACGCGAATATTGATTGCCATTTTTTCCGGACTGTCCCGGTCAAACCTGGATAGGTGGAAAACAAAATCGCACCGCTGATGATCTGGGTTCGAATCCGGATGTTTGTCCTCAATGACTAAAGATGCCATGGAGGCCTTGATGTACTATGGAGACGCGCCAATGCCCAAAACGCCTCCTGTTATTTCTACTTTTCCTTTCCACGCAGTGCTATTGACAAATGTGTTGAGTTGTTGTGTTACGTGTGCTCCACTGCCAACGCAGCAAGCATTGCCAAATAATTAGTTTTAACGACTAAAGTATGGTTGTCTTGTGTCGTGAGATATCTCGCCGATGATGACCGCACAAAACAAACTCCATCACGATCACCGTCATTAATAGTCACTGTTCATTCGGGCTTATCTCTAATTCAAAGCACGTGCGATGATTGGCATGTGGTGATCCGCGTGGCTGTTGTTGGGCGAGGCGGGCACGAGGCTCCGATTGCAGCGGGGTCTGTGTGGCCTCATCTTCCGCGCTGTTCCAATGGATTTTTTTAAAATAATTGTCCGACAACAGGTTGACTGATATTAAAATTGGAACGTCGTCGGTGTAAAACTGCCAAACGTCCCGACCGGGCTGGGACAGTCCCGGTGTTTTCAGAAAGGCTGTTCTTGTGTCCCCCATGAAGCTTGGCGAAGGTTCTGATTTTCGTCCCGGTTTTATTTTTTTCTGGCCTCATTCTCAACTGATGGTTCGGACAAAGGACCGGGCCCATGATTTAGGAGAGGGGGGGGGGTCACTGGGCGGGGGATAGCGAGTGAGTGGGCGTGGTTATTGGAATGTGGGCGGGGCTGGGGGAGGGAGGCGGCTGCCAGCTCGTCACGTGTTCCAGTTGAGCCCACTGACGGAGCCAGCGGGGGGGGGGCACGTGCCCCCCAATGATCCGATCTAAATCCCGAATCTCGATCGGATCATTGGGTTCATTTGTAATAAATCGGCATTTTGTGACCCCAACTGCCACTGTGTAGCATATTATTACATGCCAGGGACTCTATGAGATGATAGGATAATAGTCTGAGTCCATAATTGGCAATAAGTAACGGCAAAGCAGTTATAAGTGACTCAGAATTGTGTGCAGTTGCGTAAACAGTCCACGACTTCCCTGAAGGCATCAACACCTTCAGCGAGCGCGATGCCGATCACACAACGCAGTTCGAATTGGACCCTCGATTGATGGCTGCGCCATCGTCGCACACGCGTCGAATAAAAAGCAATAGACAAGTCCTTACTTACTCAACTCCTATCATTTTTCATTGCTTGAGGGGTTGCCTCCTCTACCTGAAAATCCTCGCTCTGCCATTGGTTGAGCCTCCCAGACATGTTACAGCAGCTTTACAAATAAGTTGTCTTATACAGATACCGACTCCAGCCACGGTAATATGGAATTTCCACTAGATCAGAGAGTCTATGCTCCTTCGAGCATGGATATGCTTAGATGAGTTTCATTCAATTTCTATTTGTTTTTTTCAGGGACTACTTTTCTCAGCAGCGGAGGAACATGCAGCACTTTGGTGGTGCCGCGGCTGTGGCTGCCGCCGCAGCGGCGGCGAACGGATATCCGCTGGGCACCATATACGGGCTGCACGTGCACACCGGCGGCCATATCGGTGGTCAGCACGTGGCAGCGGCGGCGGCAGCAGCTGCTGCCGTAGCAGCTTCGCATCACCACCATCATCAGCATCACCATCATCAACATCAACACCATCATCAGCAACAGCCATCGCAGCAGCAACACGAGCCGCAAGCTGCTGGACATTTAACAACCACACCGCATCATCATCAACCGCATCATCATCAACAGCATCACCAGCAGCAGCAGCATCAACAGCAACACCAGCAACATCATCAACAGCTTCACAATGGCGGCTCGGCGCACGTGGGGGCGGCCATTTTAGGTCACCACGTGCACCCGGCGCATGAATACCGGCCGTCGGTGCACGCGCTCACGCTCGCCGAGAGACTGGCGGGTGGGTGTGAGAGTGTCAATCCTCGTGATATTGCTCGTCATACAGTTCTTGCTGCATCAATGATTGCCCATTATGTTTTTGTTATAATTGCTGTGATATTCATCCTGTGCTTGTAATTGCTCTCGTTCTTCATTTGTCGAATCGTTATACTTGTTTATTTTTTCATGTTCTGTCCATTGCTCTTCTTTTACGCATTCATATTCACCTAACCCCTCACTCTCCAATTCCTCTCAGTTATTCTACACCTTCTCGCACACTCTCCTATCTCGCTTTTGATCTCTTCTCACGAGTCATTGCTATACCCGGTCTCTGATTTTTTAGTTGTTTTCCCTCTCCACTCACTTTTCAGACCCCTCAATTGGGGGGAGATGAGTGTAAGCTTGGCTTGTAGTGGCGTGACACCGGGTTGCGATATAAATAGCACTGTTAGAGTCTTCAGAGGTGTGACCCTCCCTCCTTTCCTTCCATCACTCCCTCCTTCACTGACCTCCCTCGTCCGTCACGGTGTACACGTGGTGGGGTCGATGGCAGTTATCCGACATTCAAAGATCAATCACAGCCGTGTTCTGATTATACCCTTTGTAATGTGGAAATTATTACTTAATTTCCATTGATCCAAAAATAGGTATGTTGTGTCCGTTTGCACGTTACGCGGTGCAGTATATTGAGGCTGTTAATGGTTTGTGTTAATGGCGTCAGTAAATGTTTTTTTTTTTTACGAACGACGCAACCCAGCAAATAAAGTACTGCTCTTTTATGTCGCTATCAAAACGGCATCGATCCAGGGCGACGTGGCCGTTTACATCTGCTTCTGCTACTCTACAAATCGAACGCTGATGATTCGTCACCCCTGGTGCCCTATTTTCCTCTGGGAACCGAGTTGCCACCATTTTAAGTTTAAAATGTTCGTGGGCTGAGACCCCATTGGCTTAGAAATGTGGGGCAGCAATGTAACGTGGCTTTAACTCTCATCGGACCCCATGGTGTAAAGTGCAGTCTCCAAATCTTACAAATCTTATTATCCACGGTCTCTCTCCAACTATGGAGCATATTGTTTACCACTGAAGTCTGCGCTCCTTTAATGGAGGAATAGCAATACTACACAATTCTCCCCGGAAGCCCTATCGTGGCCAATAAACCTTGACACTGGCCAGGTCTTGATTTAAAGCTTTCGTGACTGCAGGGATTCATATTCTTGGTTCTTTCCGTAAACTCACGTAGAAGGGAAATAATAAAATAATATAAATATGAAACAATAAAAATTCTCACGACGTTTCGACTGCAACACAAGCAATCATCATCAGGTGTGAAATCCACAGCATTTGTGAAATCCACAGCATTTCACACCTGATGATGATTGCTTGTGTTGCAGTCGACACGTCGTGAGAATTTGTATTGTTTTATTTATATTATTTTATTATTTCCCTTCTACGTGATTTTACCGAAAGAACCAAGAATATAATACTGGCCAGGTTGCTTCTGAAAAAAAGCTAATGGCTCAGTGGGCCTTACCTGATAAGATAAAAAGTGTATTTATATATTAAAGTGATTTGTTTACCTTTTCTATACTTTGCACTCCTATCGTGTTTTTTTTATTGTTTATTGTTGTAACGTTCTGACCTGTCCCTCGTGGACATCTGTGAGCTTTATAGCTCATGGGATTCTTCCAATATAAATTAATATTCTGATCTAGCTCCTGAACATATTGATGCACGCAAAAATAGAATATAATCTCTCTGGCCTATTTATGTGCTTTAAAGAAAGTAAAAGGCCCGAAATGTCGCGTATTATATATTTATTATTATTATTTCATGGCCACAGTGGCATTTACGAATGTGTTGACTTTTTGTTGTTGTTAATTGTGATTGTGCACCGCTGCCGACGCAGCAGCAGCAGCATCACCAAATTGTTTCGTATTGAAAAGTCGGCCATTTACAACAGAGTGAAGTCATTAAAGAGCGAGATGGCGACCCCCGCTGATCGTGACTTTACTCATTTTACAAATAATGACTCCGCAACCTTGCGTTGGAAAGGTCACACAACTGCCCTTGGGTGTGCAGCTGCTTGAGTACAGCTGCATCTGGGTTGTCGACTGTTAACTCGAGCGTATTATGTTGTAAAATTCTATGTTCACGTGTACTTTTTGGGGAACAAAATTTTTTTTTTTACCACCTTAATTTGTTTTAAAGGAGGTTTCGTGATTTATTTCCGCTTTGCATCTTTAATTGGGTGGAGGTGAGAGCTGAGGACTACAATGTATAAACACGTCTCGGTATGGAGTGATCTACGGCGTTTACATTGTAAATGTGTATTTTCCTCACCTTGTTTAATTATTACAAAACTCTGACCCAAGTACAGGTGTCTTGTGACCCCAAATTAATTGACCCCTAACATTGTTTCCTTTGCATATTCACTTCTGTTTTAAATAAACCTTACTTGAAAAAGATATTAAGTACCGAGAATTAAATGGGGGGAGGGGAGGGTCACAAGACATGGGCCACCCTGTAGATCGACCGGTAGATCACCAACAAACGCACAACACCGCCATCTCTCGCACCCCTCCACCTCTTCGCATTGAGTTTCACCTCCCCCCTGGTCTCGCCGCCCTGATGTCTATACCCCTGTCGCCCCTCCTCCGTCTTGCTCCCCGCCCAACGCAGACATCATCCTGGAGGCGCGGTACGGCACCCAGCACCGCAAGCAGCGCCGCTCCCGCACCGCCTTCACGGCGCAGCAGCTCGAGGCGCTGGAGAAGACCTTCCAGAAGACGCACTACCCCGATGTGGTGATGCGGGAACGTCTCGCCATGTGCACCAACCTGCCCGAGGCTCGCGTGCAGGTGCCGCCTGGGCGTTCGTGCCGAATTGTGTTCTAAATTTCGATTTAAAGCTGCTTTCGTGACTAGCAGCGATTCATCTTCTTGGTTCTTTCGGTAAAGTCACGTAGAATGGAAAATAATAAAATAATAAAAATCAAACACGTAGAAGGAAAATAATAAAATAATAAAAATCAAACGTGATAAAATTATTGTATCATATGTTATTATGTTTTATTTTTTATTTTTTTTATTATTTTCCTTCTACGTGACTTTACCGAAAGAACCAAGAAGATAAATTGTGTTCTGTTGTGTACGATGGCGGCGATTATGTTCAGGGAGGCTAAATTGCCAATGTCGAGCGCAGACTACGTCGGTTTACGAGACGGACCAGAGTGTTGGGTTTGCATGGCCACAACCACAATCATCAATCCCTCTCCCCGCCAAACAAACTACAGGGAGAGCCCAGGTTATCTCTGGAATGTGCAGGTGGTGCAACTGCGCTGTGCCTCACAGGCAAGGGCCGCCCAAAAGGACGAGGGCAATCGGGACAATTTACCCCTCGAAACGAAGGGCCCCACAGCGGAACTGATTTTGTTTTATTGTTGCAAATGAAGATGAGGGCTCCACCTGGTATTCTGCCCCAGGGCTCCAGCTCTGGGAATCCAGGTACACCTCTCGGTGCCTCTGCCCACAGGCTGGAGGGGCCCAGGCACTGGGCTATAAGAAGAGTGGGGGGATTGGACAGGGCCTCCCAATTCATTATTTGCGTCACAAAGTCCATGCTGCACCACTGGATACGTTGCTGAAATGTTGTGCAACATCTCGTGTTAAACACTGCAACTTGGTTGCTTCTGTTTTGCAACAAGGATGCACGTTACAAAGTTGTTTCAGCCCATCACACACAGTCGTGCTCATACAGTTAAGGCTTGAAGGCCCAAAGTTCAACTTCCTGCCATTCCCTCTTGTCTGGATATCTCGGCCCGAGGGGCTCACGCAAACCTGGCAGGGAAACTCGACAAGCAACTCCCTCTGCTTAGCCTGTGAATAGTACAAACAACAAACGTCATTGAAAGAAATACATTTTAAAAATAAAATGTGTGTGAATAATTATGGTGTGTTATTTAAATGCATTAAGACAGGCTATTATATTTTTTTCTTCACACGTACATACAAACCCAGCTAATGTTCAACGTTGAGGCGATGTTGGCATGTGGTTGGAACAGATCAACGTTGGCTCGACGTTCCATGTTCACTAGGAATATGCACTCTGTTATTCTTTTAACTTTTACGTTGCCATGACAATTCGTTTGACCTCGCACAGCCAATCACTGCTTTTGCACGCGCAACAAGAGAACAATCGAAAAGATTCTGAACAAAGTCGCTGCGAGTTTTGGCAATGTGCAAGCAACTTTGCTCAGAATTGTGGGTCATGGTAAACAGCAGCATGAACAGCATTATTTTATTCGCAACATCACAGGAGCATTGGACCATTTAACTCCGGCTTAACCTTGAAATCTCAGCGGGTTCCCTAAACAACACCTCGCTGTCAACACTTCCCACACGGGGTTCATCATGGCCGTGTTGGAAACACTGAGTTAGCAATAACTGCGGGGTGGCTTTGAGCCCGGAGGCTGGGTGTCAATCTCTCTCTGCTAGGAGGTTCATAATGTCAGTGCTGCGCTCATCATGGCCACGCCAAATTAACAGTGATGAAGTCCTGGGCTCCAGCCTTAGGTCTGGGTGTGTCTCTCATCCGTTCATAATGGCTGTGTTGGAAATACAGATTTAACAATAAGGTCCTCGGTCAGAGGGCTGTGTCGGGTGGTTTTGTCTATGAGGGGTGTAAATTGGTGATTTAAGGGACGCTCACTCAACAGCGATGCAATCTTTGGTGTGAGTTCTTTATGGGGATGGAAATTCCACATTACCATGGTGGTGGCCAGTCTATCCATAGAAAATCCGCTGCTGTCCACTTGCTAAAAAGCAGTGGCATTTATTTCAGCAACTGTAAGGAAACGACAATTAAGGGCAGAGTGGACATTTGTTTAGGACTTAAAATGACACGGTAATTTATTCAGCAAAGCCGTACTGAATCTTACCACGCTCGCAGAAAGGTCCTGCATTCGAATATTTGGACCAATTCTCAAACCTCGGGGGCAGAGGTCGCAAACGGGTTTTGATTCCTTACCCGTACCCGTACCCGGCCGCACCAGGGTCGCAAACGGCTACCCGTACCCCGTACACTCTGCTAGCCTCTCCACTGCTAGCCTATTACTACACACTCTGGTAGCTTTTCCACCGCAAGCCTCTCACTATATCTTCTGCTAGCTTCTCCACTGCTAACCTCTCGCTATACACTCTGCTAGCTTCTCTACTGCTAACCTACCGCTAGATACTCTGCTAGCTTCTCCACTGCTAGCTCTACTCTCTGCTCGCTTCTCTGCTGCTAGCCTTCTCACACTCACAATTCGGATTCCGCTAGCTTCTCTACTGCTAGCCTTTCTACCCTCGCCTCTCCAACCTCGCCCTTGCCTCCAGCCGTCACCGCTGGAGAGGGCGAGGTGTGGAGAGCGGGGCCTTGGACTTCTCTTGTCTTTCCTCTTGTCTTCACTCCGACCCACCCCCCCCTCCCGTATATATGCCCCTCCTCAACACGTTCCTTCGGAGTGGGCAGGTAGGAACTTGGTTGGACAGCGCATTCGTGCACGACAGACAGACAAATAATCCCTGGTGGGCAGTGTGGAACCTGTTGTTCCTACCTGTATGTATACAAGAAAACTTGACTTTAGGTAGCCAGCCCCCTGAACTATCGCCCCCCCTCCCTTAGGCCCCTCCCCCCTTAGGCCCCTCCCCTGACCCCCTTTCCCTTAGGCCCCTCCCCTGACCACCCCCCCCATATCCTCAGGCCCCTCCCCTGACCCCCCTTCCCTTAGGCCCCTCCCCTAACCCCCCTTCTGTTAGGCCCCTCCCCTGAGCACACCCCCCCCATATCCTTAAGCCCCTCCCCTGACCCCCCCTCCCTCAGGCCCCTCCGCTGACCCCCCCCCTCAGGCCCCTCCCCTGACCCCCCCCCTCAGGCCCCTCTCCTGACTCCCCCCTTCCTTAGGCCCCTCGCCTGACCCTCCTCCCTTAGGCACCTCCCCTCTCCGTACCCGGCAGTAGGTCTCCACCAATCAAAGAGCTGTTTACCTGACTCCCCCCTTCCTTAGGCCCCTCCCCTGACCCTCCTCCCTTAGGCACCTCCCCTCTCCGTACCCGGCAGTAGGTCTCCACCAATCAAAGAGCTGTTTGTAAGGTCTCCACCAATCAAAGAGCTGTGCGTATTATATATTATGTACGACAGACAAACAGACAGTCAGACAGACAGACAGCTAAATAATCCCTGGTGGGCAGTGTGGAACATTGTTCCTCCCTGTATTAACTCCTCATTAATGAAGCCCGTGGCTTCCGCCGCTATCGCCTCAATCTCCCGTCAACCTGGCGCCTGTTCCGCGCCTGCATTTGCAGCCAGCCACTCGCCGCTATGCATCCTAATTGGCCGTCTCCTTTCCGTTGCTCCCTCTCGCCACACCTGGTCGTCCCGATGCGGCCTCACTGTCCGTAACTCGCACGTGCGCGCACACCGCTCGCAAACCCCCGCGCGCGTTATTCCACTACACCTTGTAAACTTCTCATTGTGATTTGGGCACTTTCTGTCGCCGTTGCTGTTTATACGAAAGATGATGATGATGATGTTCACGATGATGCCACCCCTTCTCCACGAATGACTTAAGGTGTGGTTCAAAAATCGCCGGGCGAAATTTCGCAAAAAGCAGCGGAGCCTCCAGAAGGAGACGGTGCAGAAGTCACGTGATCACGACGCAGCGGGGGCAGGGCCCGAGGGGGCGGCGGGACACCCAGGTGGAAGGTAAGACGGAGAGAAGGGGAGAGCTTTACCCCTGACCCTAACCAACGGTGCTGTTCCTCCTGGGACACCCAGGTGGAAGGTAAGACGGGGAGGGGGGGGATAGCTTTACCCCTGACCCTAACCAACGGTGCTGTTCCTCCTGGGACACCCAGGTGGAAGGTAAGACGGGGAGGGGGGGGGATAGCTTTACCCCTGACCCTAACCAACGGTGCTGTTCCTCCTGGGACACCCAGGTGGAAGGTAAGACGGGGAGGGGGGGGATAGCTTTACCCCTGACCCTAACCAACGGTGCTGTTCCTCCTGGGACACCCAGGTGGAAGGTAAGAGGGGGAGAAGGGGATAGCTTTACCCCTGACCCTAACCAACGGTGCTGTTCCTCCTGGGACACCCAGGTGGAAGGTAAGAGGGGGAGAAGGGGAGAGCTTTACCCCTGACCCTAACCAACGGTGCTGTTTCTCCTGGGACACCCAGGTGGAAGGTAAGACGGGGAGGAGGGGAAAGCTTTACCCCTGACCCTAACCAATGGTGCTGTTCACACCATACGTAGCACGGTTGGCTACGTAGAGTGCAAAAGAAGTTCAACATACATACATACATTAGCACATAGCACTGACGCTAGCACGTGCTCTAACCCATAATCTTAGCCATGACCCAAGCGCAAGCCTTATTACTTTATGTATGTATGTTGAACTTCTTTCGCACCGTATGGACCCAACCACGCTAATCGGAGGTGCGGAATCACTGACCCTAGCTAGCCTGGTAAGGTTACAAGGACGCAAGGATAGGGGGATTGCGGTGCCCCGGCAGGAAGAGATCACAGTGTACAGGAAGTGTGTCGATCAATTGGGTCGCATCGACAAACGGAACTCGGGACAGCCACTCCACTCCTCTTGCACCAGGCACCAGCCCTGCATCACAAACGCTCTGTTCTCGCGAGCGGAGATCTACAAACCACCCGGATGCTTCCGTGCTCCTGGCGCGGGTGCACGATCGACTCCCTCGTCGCGGCTGATGATGTGCCAGAAAAAAAACTGAGAGAACGTGCAGGGAGCATCGTCGTGATCTCAATTATGTCGTTATCGATCTGTCAAAATAATTTTACACTGTCAGTCAACCAGACTTCTGGAAGGTCCTCGGCAAATGGGGGATGCCTTGTCAAGTGATGCATTCTTAACCAATCTTTCCTGAAGGTTTATTTAATTTAACTGTATTTAACCAGGCGAGAACTCAAGAGACCAGCATTAGTCTCAATTTTCAAGAGTGGGCTGGGATATTCGTCTGGCATTAGGGGGCGATGATAGCTGTATTTTAATCCCAATTGAGTATTTCGTGGGCAAATGTTTCGAATTTGGCAAATTTTGGACACTCACGCTGGCACACAGTGGTCTCATCTTGCAAACGGTGCCAGGAGATGTTTAAGGTCCACCGTGAAGCAGACGGTGCATGGTGGTATTACGGTGATTACGCCCGTAGTGATATAATCGGGCTCAGTCAGGGTGGTTTGCAGGCCCACGTGACAGAAAATGGAACTGCCTCTATGAGGTCACCAGTGGCATCAAGCAGGGCTCTGTACGTTCAACCATTCTGGTCCGCGATGTGCTCTTGGTCATGCTGCTCTCAGCCTGCTCTGATAGAGGGTGCATCTTCTATCAACCTGATGGACATCTATTCAATCTTAGTAGACCCAAATTCAGATCCAAGGTTATCAGTCTTCATTGAAACTGGAGGAGTCCGATGAGCTATGAAGCTTTTTTCCACAGATGGCCAGTAGGGGCAGCTCAGAAAGTTACAACAACAAACAATACAAACACACGATAGGAATGCAAAGCATAGGAAATGTAAACAAATCACTTTAAAAAAGACATACAAATGAAACTAAAATATGTTTAATCTTACCAGGTAAAGCCCGCTGAGCTATTAGTGTGTTTTTGAAAAGCGACCTGGCCACAAATGATAGCTCAATGAAGTGACTTATGTGGAAATTTATAGCAGCAAAATAATCAAAATAATATATAGATGCTTGTTAGTGCAGCCATCATCAGTGAGCTTCAGTTTTTCGATGACTGAAACATTGTGACATTCTGAAGAGGGTCTTTAGGATCCCCTCCATCACCTTGTAACAGCATCAAAGCAATTTTTTCTCCACCATCAGCATCCAGTCGACGGAATTTATGTTCCAATTAGCCCAAAACTACCCTTACAGTCATCACATAAAAGCACACAGCTGATGACACGACGCTCAACGCATTAGACAGATTCACATATCTTGACACTGTCCTGTCCATATCCGTAGGCGCCGATGACAAAATCTCATTCCTCATCCTTCGGGCATCTGCAAATTGGAATTTGAAATGAGCAAAAGGTCCGGTGCTCAATCAAGATTTCCGCATACAGAGATGTTTTTGCTCGCTGCTTTTCTCTATGGATGAGACCCGAACTCTGTACTGCCACATTATCCGACAGCTTACACAATTCCTCCATATTTTGTTCGTCTACTGGCAGGATCTTATAGCAAACACACAGAAGCTGTATTCCGTAGCAACCTCCCCGGCGTTGAGACCCTTCTGACCAAGACACGTCTGCGCTGGCCTGGGATGTTGTCAGGATGAAGGACTCTCAGAATCCCTAAGCAGGTGTTTCACAGCCGGCTCGCTCGTGGAAAAAGAACTGGCTACCAATACGCATGATGCAAGGACACTCTCAAAATCCACCCTCAAAGCAGATCAAAGGAACACCGGTAACAGGGAGAAGGAGGAGGCTAAGGACCGTGAAACCTGGAGGCAGATTGTTATGTCACTACTGCAGCTTACAAGATTGAGCGCGCAGCCACGCTGGAGGCTACGAGAGAGAAGGAAGGAAAACAACGGGGATGCGTCCTCCTGCTCCCTCGAATCGCTCTAGTGCTTATGCTCGAGCTGCCACCGCTGCCACCACTGCGCCCACGCTTCGTGGATCATGTCTGATCCCACGCGAGCGATCGCGCGGATATGGACACTGGCGCTCAGATGCACCAACACACAGCTTGGTCATCGCTAATGGTGACTAATAACCATCGTACCCATAGCACTGACCGTGACCCGAGCCTTGCCCCTGTACTCAAAGCTAGCACCGAGTCCTAAATCTACAGCTCTAGCCTTGATGCACTGGCTTTACCCCATCACTAATACCAAGAGAGTCCCACCTCTACCCCTAACACTGACAGTGACCTTTCTCTCCCCCAGATCCCCTGTGCCTCTGAATAAGGGAGGAGTTGGGTCGCCTGCGACCTCAGGCCCCCCCTCCACTGACCCTTCCCCTGAAGACCCCCTCACTCAAGAGGGTGTGGATCCAGGCGAGGCAGGCACCGTACCTGGGAAGGCCTCATTGCCTGAAGCCGGTAAGAAGGTGTTATGAGCGTAATTACACGAATGTGTGTCCATGATGTGCATGTAGAATGATGTAAACTGTGCCTGGAAATCAAATATAGTTTGCTGGGTTCGTAGCACGGAATCACAGTTCCGTGCACACGTACATACATACGCATTACATACAAAGACAAAGATTCCCTATATAGCCTTTAACTGTGGGGCAAGTTCTGTTGGTGAGCACCTATTAAGGCCGGCACGGGTGGGTGGCCAGCACCACGCCTGGCCCCACCTTTGTCCCCCCAGTGCTGTTGAGGAAACCAGGTTCATAGCACAGCGTGCTAACCACGACACCACCGCTCCCCATACAAATATCCACAGACACGTTACGTACACAAACACATAAGCACATGTAGCCTTGGGAGTCTTTCAGGGCAAATTAGTAAGCACCTAGGGGCCGTCCATAAATGATGTCACGCACCTAGTGGGGGGGGGGGGGGGGCGGGGTTTGAGAAATGTGACGTCACATCAAAATGCGCAACTTTCAATAAATATAGACGACACGTTCTACTTAATTAACTTGACTTTTTAATAAATGTTTTCTCCTACAACATCATAGTGCAGCACCACATTAAATACGCACTACAATAACAATAGTTTAAAGCGATTTGAAGCATGTTTTATGGTTGGGGGGGGGGGGGGCAGAGCTTTGTGACGTCATATTTGAGGCGGGGAGTTTGACTTTGTGACGCCGTGTGACGAAGGGGGGGGGGGGGTCAAAAATCGTCCAAAATCGCGTGACGTCATTTATGGACGGCCCCCTATGAAGAAGGCCAGCATGGCACTTGAAGGGGTGGATGTGGCCAGCACCACGCCCGACCGCCTTTGCCCCCCCAGTGGCGATGTTTACACACCCCGCCAGGTACTCATTTGAGGCCGAGTCGACCTAGGGGAGGCTCAGGACCGGTTGAAATATTTGCCGCTGTTATTGGTCGTGAGCGGGAATTGAACTCGGGTCGCCGGGTTCGTAGTGCAACGCGTTAACCACTGCGCCCGCCACTCCCTCCATGTGCATGCATCGAGACATGCACACATTGAGCTGTTTCAGGGAACACACATTGACACACACATTGACACACACATTGACAGAACAATGTAACCTGGCCACGTGACGGTCTCCCTCGCGGCTCATAATGGCCAACACGGTGCTGTCGTGTGTAATTAGCCGTCGCTAATTAGTGGCTAATTAGGCCGACTTGGGGCTCAGGTTTAATCGATTTAAACGAGGAGGGGTAGGGCCTGCGGATCCATACAGCCCGGGGCGGGAGATACCTAATGGGCAACTCGGGAATTTGTCATTAATTAATAATTAGTGACCAACACACGCACACCACCCCCTTACGGATAACTTATACTACCTCTTTCATTTATTATTATCATTATCACCACTACCGCTCTTGTTTATATATGGGCAGACCGAGATCTGCCATGGGAATGTGGAATTTCCACCTCACAATTTGAAAGTCACGAGTTCACATGTAGATTGGGGTTCATTCGTCATTGTCCTCCAGCCCATCAATGGCAGCTGTAGCAGCATCCATCAGCAGCTGCGGCAGTGGTATTATAATCAGCCGCATTAGTTTCATCAGCAGCAGAAGTGACCAGTGGTCTTCCCTTAGAGAGAATGTGGAATTCCTACCATAGGAATGTGGAATTTCCACCACTGACTGAGGTCAAAGGAGATGAGCATCATCCACAATTGTTTGAGCAGGGACACATTTGGACCTGACTTGAACATAATCAACGTACAAAACGAACATGTGTACACACAAATGTAGGGGTGGAACGATGGCATATTGGTTCGCACGCCGCGCTATAAACATGGCCACCCGACTTTGATTTCCAGCCGCAGCTACCGCCAGTGGTGAGTGATATCTGCACTGCGAGTCGACTGCTCTGATGACAGCGCCACCCGTCCTGATGTTTTAATCTCTCTCCTTTGTCTCCCAATCTCTCCATCACCGTCCTCTATCTCTCCCCTTCTTTCTTTACCGTCCCTTAACTCTCAACAACTCGCTCTCTGACTACCATTACGAACGACCTATAACTACGTGCACATATCTCTTTCAACGACTCTTAAATCTCTAATTCATCTCAACTACCTCTTTATTTAACAACTTAACTTTCTATACTATCTCCACTCTCTCTATACTCTCCCTTAACTATCCGACTGCTCTCTCTTAAATCGACTTAACTCTTGCTTTACTCTCTCCTCCCACCTCTCTCCGTTTTCCCATGCTCTACCATTTCCTCTCATTCCCCTCCTTCCTCGTGCCATCTCTCCTCGTGCCATCCTCCTCCTCCTCGCCCACCTCCTCCTCCCATGTCCCACGTCCCACCTCGCGCATTCACAGACCCCACGTCCCGCCCGTCCTCCTTGCTCCCGCCCTGTGCCCCCGTGCCACCACCTCCGCCGCCACCACCTCCGCCACCACTGCCGCCCCCTCCTCCGCACAGCTACGCCTCGGCGCCCCTCTCCCTGCTGCGCCTGCAGGAGCAGTTCCGCCAGCACATGGCGGCCACGGCGGCGGCGGGCAGCCTCGTGTACCGCTCGTCCTTCGAGCTGGCGCAGTCGACGCACCCGCTCGCCTACCCCATGGCGCCGCTCGCCTGCCAGCCCTACTACCCGGCGTGGGTGCCGCAGGGCGGCGCCGCCCTCCTGTCGGCCTCCACGGCCGCGGCGGCGGCGGTGGCGGCGGCGGCGGCCGCGGCGGCCACGACCGCCACCACGACCGCCACGACCGGGACGCACGCGCCGCCCCCGCCGCTGGCCGTCGCCGCGGCCGGGGGCGCCGGGATCCTCGTGGCTCCGTCGCCGACGGCGATCGGCGCCCGCACCGGCGGGGTCGTGGGCCCGGCGGTGGCGATGGCGTCGCCGTCCTCCTCCTCCTCCTCGCTGGCGATGCCTGGCTTGGTGGGCATCATCGGCGGAGGCAGCAGCAGCAAGACGTCGAGCATCGAGAACTTGCGCTTGAGGGCGAAGCAGCACACGGCGTCGCTGGGGCTCGACATCGAGATGATGAATTGAGCGAGGGATGGGGGGGGGGGCTCGAGGTGGTGGGTGGGGAGGGGGAGAAAAAGAGGGGGGCGCTACGAAGAGGAGAGATTCTGTATTGGCATGTCGCTTTACGGCATTCGACGTTACTGCTGACGTGAATTTATACAACGCTATTAACAGATTGGTTTGAGATAATAATACAAAACTGACACCGAGAGGAGAGGCATATCTCGACACTTTTGGCCAAAACGATCTACAGGAAATATTGAGCTGTGCAGTGCGAGAGTCTCAAACTTGTCATGGGACCTTTTTGTCAGCATCAAAGTATGAAAAATAAGAATAGGTTTTACCCTTTCTGGCAATAAAATAGATTGTCATGTTTGCATGTTCACAAATATGTGCGGTTGATGCAGACTTGATTCCTTGCAAAAAAAGATCTACTTGGTGTTTGAACATCTTATTTTTCACAGTCTCAAACTTGTTGCAAATATCGTGTGTGGCTGCGTTGATGCTATTGACACTGCACCAACCATCAAAGCCAGGCCACCTTCCTCCATAACAGGAAGTCCATAAAGGTATTATCAGTTGTGCACGGTGTCCGTCAAGGTGGTCTTATCCATTATTCTCCATATCTAGTGTCATCCTCATTACTTCGGCTTGATCTACAGCGTCTCATGGAGAGTCCAGTCCAACTGCTCACGTAGGCCTACCTACCGATCTTAGGATGTGTCCTGCATATGCCACCTTCCTTCTCGTTAGACTTGTCAGTCGTTCTCGCTCGTAGCCATTCTATCTCAGCTCATCGTCATCCTTCTACTTAACACATCAGCTTAACTCTATCCATTCTTCCATAACACCACATCCTAAACACTTTGAGTCTCTTCAAGTCATCCTACCGCAGTGTCCATGCTTTTCTGGTATATCCCACGACACTCCACACAACAAAATGTTCCAATATCCAATCCTCTCTCTTCTGTTTCGTGTCCAACTTATTACTTACCACACTTCTTTTCAAATACAGTCTTGGCCAATCCGATTCTTCTTATTTTCGTATCCTCTTGTTCACACCTGCCATCTTCAGTGGCCTCCAAGGTAGTCACACCTTCACACCTGTTCCAACCATTCCCCCTGCGCACGAACCTTGATGGTAGACGCCTCACCTTTAACACTCTAGTGGCCTACGTCTTCTTGGCTCTGATGTTCGTACCATAAGACCCGCTGAAGAAAGCCCATAAAACTACTGACACATACACACACACCGGGTAGTATGACAATGTTATCGTTCGAGTCTAATCCCTCTAACCCCCCCCCCCCCGCGTGTCCGCCATGGCGTGGGCGACGTGCGTTGTAGAGAGACCCGGGTGTTGGCCAACATCGTCGCGGGTGTCATTCTTTTAAACGTTTCATTAATGCGCTGTTGAAGATTGTGTGTGCGTTGTTTGCTAGAAAAGGATTAAGCATGCATAATGCGTATGTTGGCAACATTTCAACCGCCCATTTGGGACTTATTTTTTGTTATTGATTCTCTGGTAGTGGATGGCACCTTTATGAACGTCCTTTTATATCAAGAAACTTAAACGAGCCCCGTACATCCCTCGCCTCGCTGCAAACCTCAGTATTTCCCGAAGGTGGCCAGTCGAGCAAAACTTCCTTCGATAAAAAAAACCCGGTTCATCTTAATTCGTAAAGCGCCCATCCCAACGCTGCCACAAATCGTTTCAACAGTGGCAATTACAAGTTGGTGGGTTTTGATGCAGTTGATTGGGGGAGGAAGTGAGAAAGTCATTGTTGGAGGAAGAACATAAAATAGATTGGATGAAGATGCTCGATCGAGGGTAGAGGAGGGACGGGAGGCCGGGTGATGAAGCGAGAAGGACAAGAGTAAATGGAAAGAGGAAATGGAAAAGGAGAGGGGGGAAAGGTCTACAAATTAAAGGATAGAAAATTGAAGGCAAGAAGGATGAGATGAGAAGAAGACGGTGTGGGATTGAATCTCATCATTCTCATCCTCAAGGATTTAAAGGTTATTTGCAGCCGTTTTTGGCCTTCCATCGAAGCGATAACGATGCAAATACTTCGAAGCCGTCTGCTCCCTTCTAATTGCTGATATTCTTTGGGCCTTCCCCTACTCCACAACGTTGTTGAACCTTGAATCACGAACGCCCTGCAAGCCTTGGGCCTTTTACCAAGATCCCCAGCACCCAAAACAAAACGTGGGCACACTCGCCAAGGAAACCGTTTATTCTGTGGATTAGGCCAACTCCACTTGCTGGGTGGTGAATCTAGACGAGGCCCTTTGAGCTTATGCCTTGGGTTGTGGCGAAGGCCAGAGGAGTAAGCTCTGATACATTTTAAGCAACTGTACCTTCATTCTATTGGAGGGAGATGAGGGTTGTACGTTCACCTGAATTAGGCTGATACACTCTTACTCGGATTTACATATAGTTGATGTCGATAAACTCGATTTGACCAATTAAAGGTGCCATCAATGCAGTCGGAAAATCAAGAAAGCAGCCGGTGCGGTCAGTGACCGGTATCGTAATGGGCAAGACCACGACTGAAAGCGGCGTGCTTCGGTCAGGACGAAGGTTCGGTGATGATCCAACCGTCATTGAGCTATTTGTTTCTTTCTTTTGAAACTATATTTATTTAGACCGCATTGTCAAATGCGTAAGTACACTCGGTTGCAAGAGTGCGCGTCGTCCGTCGCGCAGGGACGTTAAGCCACCGCCAAAAAACTGGAGACGAGAATTCAAAAATGAAAATTTGTCCACACTCATGGACGCTAAAGACTGAAACATTCACGGTTTTGTTTTGCGTGTCGTATCACACAACGCTCTGTACATTTGTGACGTTTAACTTGAAAGCATAACTAGGATATTACGTTTTTTTACTTTCAATTGTGTTGTTCTTGAGCTTGTAAATAATATTCGCTTAATGATCGTCGCAGAATAATGACCGTGTTTGGTTTTCACATTTTTTTTACAGAAAGTTGAGTTTGTGCCTGGATCGAGGCTCCAATCAATCCTCCAGCTTTAGAGGTCACATGGCTGCGTCTGAGCCACTCGGAAGCACAGTGACCGATACAGACGTCACATTGATAACCCCCAGATATTAAGACGTAAGAATTAGATGTTTCAGACATATATATTCTGTAAAATATGTGAGTGTCTGTTAATATTATGTATATGTAAATTTATATGTACATACAGGAGCAATGCAACTGTGATAGCATTGAAGTGTAAACAGTGTAGAGTAGTTTGTTCTAACTGATCTATTTGTCATAAACGGTGGTCTATGTGTGTTGATGGAGGTTACGTGACAAAGCCTACAGGTTTGTATGGTTTACTGGAATTAGATGGCGATATTTGAGCTGAAGGCACCATAACAAGACAAAGGTTGTACGATAAGGTGAGGCCTCCATGTCATGAGATTGGGATTCTTTGTTGGATTGGACGGGGGTTCTGTATAGGATGAGATGAAGATTCTGTATTGGATGCAATGGTTCTATAATGGACAAGATAAGGGATCTATAATTGATGGAACTGGAATTCTGTACTGGATAAAACAAGGATTCTATATCTGACAAATCAAGACTTTATTGGACAAGACGATGGTTCTGTATTGGATGACATGCGGAGTCTGTATCAAATCAGGATTCTGTGTCAGATAAGATGAAGAATCGGTCTTAGACGAGGATTATTTATCAGATGGGTCGAGACAATGGTGTGTCGTAGGTTGGTATACAGTTGTGATTACAGACTGTGTCATCTACTCGGTTTATTTAAGCCAATAACTATTCGATAAAGCATTGCAGCTCTAGTTGAGATATGATTTGTTGTTGTCATTAAGTGTTCATGGAAAATGTACCGGTAAGCTCGTGTGTGTCACACTAAACGTGCTTAATGTATGTGTTCATTCATTGAAATCGATGCTCTCTTGAAACCTCGGCCTAGTTTAGGCCTGATGCCATTTTTCTTCGCTGCTCATAATCAGGAGGAGTGAAAACGTTTCAACCATCACCTCTTGCGCACCCTAATCTCTGGATAAATAAACAACAGGCGTTAAATCGGCCTGCGTTCCACATAGCTGAAGAACTGTTTGGCTAAAGAACTCTCGTCTGGTCATCCTGTGCTCAACTTGATTAAATAACAGACGGATATTATGTTCCTTTAAGGTCTTAATTGATGGCATGCCTCTTGTCATCTCGCACCCGGTTTAATCAAGTTGGTATTTTTATTTATTTATCGAGGTCTTCATTTAATGAAGAGGTATTTGGATCTCACCGGGACGTTGCTGTGCATTTGACCATTTTCCAGTGTTTTACCCGTGCCCGCTGTACCCTGAGCTGTTTTATTCAGACCGGTCTCCACATCCATTCAACATCAGCTGTTGAGTTCTGTGTAAGGTTTAATACATTGTTATGAGATGTTCGTGCTAATATATTACCTGTCGCGTATACGAACGATGTGTATATGCCCATAATCCTAAAAGTAAAAAAAAATCCGTAACTCCTGAAACATGTTAAATCAATCTCGAGCGGGTGGCTTGGACTTGCGATCGTAAACGAGCACTTATTTGGATTTGTGCTGGAGCATGGGTTCTATAATTATTATGGTGATAACAATGATGGTGATGATGAGGATACGTGGCTTCTAACTATTGAGCAACGAGGTGGTTCCTATACAATAGTGGTTCTCAACCGGCGGTATGCGGATCCCTGGGTGTAAGTGGCATTGTCCCAGGGGGTACGTGAGGTGATTTATAAATGTGTGAAATTATATCATACATAAGAGTCATTGGTGAATAATCACGTGTGAATTTGCCAATATAAAATAAGTACGATAAAATATATATCCATACGGTAACCTATAACGATATTAAATACCTTTCTAAACTCATTGATGGTTTTCAATTTGTCATTCTGGCAAACTTCCCGATGATGCTGAATGTAATTATCAGCGAAACGTCGTACTCAAAAATTGTAAATGTTGTGGTTTCACGCTTCAACACACCGGTGGGCTAAAGTAGTGAACTATTTGTCTTTTGTCAACGTGACACTTTTTTACTGATTGGCCGTGTCGAGTGGTGGAGGGTTACGACACATTTATAAATAACGCGATCTAAACCAAACACGTTTATTATGAATAATATTGGTCGCGAAAGCCTACGTGTTAAAGTAACCAGCAAGCGCGAACACATGGCGTGATGCATGCAAAGCGTCTGTTGATTTTTGTATTCACTTGCAGTTACTCACTAGCTCGTTAGGATACTTCACAGAATGGACAATTGTTAAAACAAATATTGATGTTCATTATTCGAACATTAATTTCTCAGAACCATGTTGAGTCGGGCAAAGGGATACTCGGTTGAAACTAAATTCAACAAATGGGGTTACAATAGCCACGGGAAGGTTTGAGAACCACCGCTGTAGAAAATAAGAGCAGCGAGTTGTGGCGACACGACCCAAACGGATATCGATGGCCCCTGTTGAAAAGACTCGCGTGGCCTAGCGAGAACTTGTGACAGGACCTGGGCGACCACTCGATCCTCTCAACCATCACTTTGTTGTCAGCAGAGTGGCGTGAACTTGGTATAAGGAGCGGGGATGCGTCGATTTGTGCATCAGAGAAGCCACTTTAAGGGGTTTGACGTGTTTCCATTTGGCATAACTCAACGCAGGTCATGCCCGGACGCTATATAAAATACCGTACGTTCTTATGCAAAGCCTGTTATAACGAAGACATATCTTAAACGCAAAATAAAACTGTGCCAAGTTACGAGCGTGTGAAGTGATGGCGTCTTAATCAACTGCTCGCACGCGTCGTCGTGTTTGCGTGTACGAGTTGGGGGCAGTGTGGAGCACAGGTGGTGCATCTGGAGGGTAGTTTCAGTCATTTATCCCGCAGTACCTGGGCCTGTGCCGTGACCTTCAGCGAGCCTTCCACACTTCACGTGGCCTCAAAGTGCACCTAGCCTGGCACAAGCGCCGTGGTGATGACATCGCTAATTTTGGTGGTGGATGGCGGCTGTTGTTGTGATTGTGCGCAGGGGAGCGGTGGTGCAGCAGTTAGCGACACGCTGCGCTACGAACCCGGCGAACCGAGTTCGATTCCTGCTCACGACCACAAACATCGTGATGATTATACATCATCAATTATCCTAACCGGGCCTGGGCCTCCCCTCTGTCGACTCAGCCTCAAATGAGGACCTGGCGCGGTGTGTAGTAAACATCGCCACTGGGGAGACAAAGGCGGCTAGGCGTGGTGTTGGCCACCCACCCCCTCATGTGCCATGGGGGGCTTCATAAGTGCTCGCTAAGAGCACTTGCCCCAACAGTTTGTGAAGGTTATACGGGGGGTCTTTGTATGCGGTTAGTGGTGGCGCAGTGGTTAGTGGCTTGTGCTATGAACGCTGGTAGATAACATCAGTTGCAAGTGATATCAGATCCGTTCCTGGGCATCTCTTAGGTCGACGCAGCCTAAACTGACTACCTGGTGTGGCGGCCGAGGGGTGGTGCTGGCCACACCAGCACCGTTGTTCTGGCCTTAATAGGTGCTCGCTGACAGCACTTGCCCCGACGGTCTATGTAGACTATACGGGGGGGGGGGGGGGTGGGGGGATGTTTTCTCTCTATTTGTTATTGATGTTATGAACACGAGGTGAAATAAAATTGAACCAGCAACCCTACACCACGAGCCATTGCCTCATGGTCAGGGCTCTTGGACTGCTGATCTAGGAACATGGGTTCACACGCCACTGATGGATCTCAGGCCTATATTCATAACTTTGCATGTTTCATTACAGCTAAGATTTAAACTGGGCTCGTGAGACAGCAGATCCTCGGGGAGACAGCAGATCCACATTGAGACAGCAGATCCACAGAGAGACAGCAGATCCACATAGAGACAGCAGATCCACATAGAGACAGCAGATCCACAGAGAGACAGCAGATCCACATAGAGACAGCAGATCCACAGAGAGACAGCAGATCCACAGATAGACAGCAGATCCTGGGAGAGACAGCAGCTCAAATGCACCCGTTGGGCAGGTGTGCACGCTTGCAGCAAGCCACCTGGTCATGATAGGATGTTGAATTTACTGGTAGGAACCTCCTGGTTACACCAGCCTACAGGGGATTATTGTGTCCGTCGTGCAGGGAGGGGCTGGGTGGGGAGGGAGGGGCTGGGTGGGGAGGGGAGGGTGGGGAGAGGCTGAGTGGGGAGGGTGGGGCTGGGTGGGGAGGGGAGGGGAGGGTGGGGAGGGGTTGGCTGGGGAGGTTGGGAAGGGGCTGGGTGGGGAGGGGCTGGGTGGGGGGTGGGAGGGGTGGGGCTGGGTGGGGAGGGGCTGGTCACCCCATGGTGCCCTTATAAAACTCAACGTCGGGCATATTTGCGGAATACACCACGCCGCCGTTGACCCTGGCCATTGACCGAGCAACCCAACGTTCCTACCAGCTCCCTCCGCAGGAATAAGTTAAAATCACAGCAGGGATTTTTAAACCCCATTAGTCAGTCCGATGAAAGGGATGAAGGCTTCCCAGAGTCGTCGTGTCGTCCAGAATAAACGTGAGTCCGTTGAGCTAATCCGGACGACTCACATGCGGGTGATGAGTTGGCGCCTTGAAGACAAAACTTCAAAGCGGCCGGTTTGTCCACCTGTCATCGCAACTGCACCACTGCACGTTCCACCCGGCGACGATCCGCCCGTGTCAATCCACCGCTGCATGAGTGCCTCCTCCCCACGCAGTGCCATACGGTACTCCGGTATGAGTTGCTAAAGGTGAGGTGGGTGGGGGGGGTGAGCACCAGAATGACATTAAAGGGGAACATAGATTACAGTACAACAGTCGACCCTGCACCACGTCCCTCTCTGCTGCCCACAACCTCTTCCCCGCGGTGGGCAGTGACAGCCGCACCGCGTGTGCGCGGCGGCCACCCGATCCGAGCACGTGACCCCAGGCCCAAGCCTGCTGAGTACTGGGCGGTGGGAGGTCACACGGAAGTCCGATGGTGGTGGGTATCATGAAGGTCACGCAGGCGATGTGGCCGACCTCCACCCCCCCCCCTCCCATAGGCAGGGTGTGTGGAGAGTCTCGGGCCTATACTGGCGATAGTCCCGCATTCAGACTCACTTAATCCGAATATTTGTTTATACTGGAGGATACCGATGAGCTATAAAGCAATTTTTTCACAGATGTCCTGTAGGGGCAGTTCAGAACGTTACAACTACAACCCACACACAAGCACAATAGGGGTGCAAAGTATAGGAAGGGTAAACAAATCACTTACATACAAATAAAATACAAATAAAACGAAACAATCTTACCAGGTAAATCCGACTGAGCTATTTGATTCTCATTCAGAAGCGACGTGGCCACAAATTATAGCTCAACGAAGTAAGTGGCTTATCTTTCTAGATTTGAAGCTTTCGTGACTGCAAGGATTCATATTCTTAGGTGTTTTCGGTAAAGTCACGTAGGTAAAACATTAAAATTAATAAAAGTAAAATAAAATAAAAAATAAAAATCACGACGTTTCAGAGGCAACACAAGTCTCCGTCATCAGGTGGGATCGTCGGTCCCACCTGATGACGGAGACTTGTGTTGCCTTGTGTTGCCTCCGAAACGTCGTGATTGTTATTTTTTATTTTATTTTACTTTTATTCATTTTAATGTTTTACCTACGTGACTTTACCGAAAACACCTAAGAATAAGTGGCTTATCGTGTGTTCGATCGAGACAGCCAGGATTCCTGACCCCCAGGTCACTCTTGCAAATGAGGCTGCCCCCCGCTCTCTTGAGTCCTCACGCGGTTCAACAAACTACACCTGAACTTGACACCTTGGAGGAGGCATCTCTCCCTTGGTGGAACCTTCCAGAAGTAAACCTCTGGACCCGGGTGCGGATGGGGGGGGGGTGCTGTAGTGTTCACTACAAAGCTGTCTCCATCCGACTATTATTGATGAGTAGTGATCTTGAGCAGGCAGGCTGCGGCCCTGCAAATGGAGGATCGTCTTGTGACCTTCTCCAGGCTCTCGTTCGGACACCAAACGATCTCCTGATAGCAATAGATCGGAAGAGCCGTTCTATCTCGATTCCCATTGATCTCTCCGCAGCGTTTGACACGGTGGACCGCAATGCGTTATATCTCAGTCACGGGTCTGTGGGATCGTCTGGAACAGTCCTCAACACGATGGCTCGCGTCTCTCCTGCACAGGGAGCTCACAGAGGGTCATGTCCGGGATTGATTCCTCGGGCAACTTCTCCCTGTCGTGTGGCGCGCAGCTTCAGGGCTCTGTTCTGTCGCCCGTCCGCGGTGTACCGCCGGAAGACATTTACAAGGCGGTATGGCCTGAGATTTCCCTGCTATGCAGCTCCTACTCGGCTACACGTGCCCTTCGTGCCCAAACAATGTGGAGCTGTCTCAACTTTTTGAACAACTTCCTAGCGGAGAGATCCAAGACTGGGTGAATGTCAAATGGTTGAGGCTGAATCCTGACCAGACCGAGGTAATGGTTTCGAACCCGGGGCGCCCAGGTTAAGTGGCTATCGCCTGGGCAGGCTCCCGGCCTCTAGTTTGGGAGGTCGTAGCCAGCTGGTGGACTTTTGATCAGGCGTGAAATCTGGGCGTTTTGCTCGATGAGGGACTGACGCTTCAATGTCAGGAGTGTCGTCCGTCATGGGGACCCCGATTTTACCATCTGAGGAATATCGCCCAGTTTAAGAGTCGCGTTTTAAAACGAAACGAAGTTTTTTTTTAATTTGACCAGGTAAGGCCCACTGAGCTGCATAGCTCTATTTCATAAGTGACCTGGCCACAAATAATTGCTCAACGAAGTGGCTTATCATGCGGATATTTATAGCAGTTAAATACTCTAAACACATGTTTCTAAATGTGGAAGGAAATATTGGAGGGCCCGGAGAAAAAATCACGCGACCACGGGGAGAGAGACACGCAAACTCCAAAAATACAGCAGCAGGCGTCAGGGTCGGGATCGAACCCACGCCTCCTGTATACCAGGCGAGGAAGTTAACATCTCGCCACCGCGGCACCCAAAATATTGTTGCATTTGCCAGCATTCCACTCGAAAACTTTCCAATATTTACGAAACCTCCCATCTTGACTCCTGTAAACGCTCCGTACTTATCGTTACTCAGGGGGGGGGGGGCTTCTATTCGCTCCGATCCGCCGTGCCCGAGGGGCGGCTCTGCTCATCGGATAGATAACGATTCTGATATATGCGGAGGTGACGATACCGTGCTTACAATCAGCATACGAGTATGGGGCTGCCGTGATTGGCGTTGTCCATGTGAGTGAGGTCAGACGCCCGTGTGTGTCTCTCACGCCGGGAGATTGAACCCAGCCGGCGACCACCTCCGATTAGTAGCAGGATTGGCTACGTACGGTGCGAAAGAAGTTCTACATACATCTATGGATTGAGAATCCCTGTGTGGCTAACCATTCGGCATCGATGGTCGGAAACGGTCCCCTAGGTCGACTCAGCCTCAAATGAGTATCTTGTGTGATGTGTAAACATCGCCACAAAGGAGGCTGTCCACCATCACCCACTCGTGCACCGTGCTCGCAAGCTTCACTTGCCCCAACAGCCTGTCAAGGCTACACTGGGGATCTTTATCTTTGTGTATGAGGGCACGTATGTATATGCGTGTGTGTGTGTGGGGTATGTATGTATGTATATGCGCGCGTGGGGCATGGGCGTGTGTAATGGGGTGAGCCCTCACAGGGCTAATGTTCACGACTCTAATGTCGCCATCTCACGCCTCATTATGTTAATGCATCAGACAGAGACTGACTTCCAGCCAGGGGTTGAATCAACACAGACACATCAACACACGCACATCTACGTACATACACGCAAGCCATATGCGCGCGTATATACATACGGAGACAAAGATCATCCGTATAGCCCCCGAACAGAGTGTCTGGGAATACGCGCTCTTGTTTAGCGAACGCCTGTGGAAAAAAAAACGCTGCAGATGGTACACGAGCCGATTGGTTGTGTGAACAGAACCATTGCCCAGCCACCTTTGTCTCCCCGGTGCTGCCGTTGTTCACACGTCAAGCGCCAGACCCACGTGGGCACAACAGCTGTGCCCACGTGCGTGCCGTCGTTCCTTGTACAACGATTTGTCAATCCGCTGCTGGATGAGGCCTCCCTCCTTCCTTTCCCTTCCTTTCCCTTTTGTTTGACCATACTTCACCACACTGGTCAGTGCAGATTTGTGAATGGGGTGGAGTGGGATGGGCGGGGGGGGGCTCGGAGCGGTTCAGATATCACTCGCCACAGTAGATCTTATAGTGTGTGTGTGTAGTGTATGCATTTACGTGTGTGTATGTTGAGAAAGATGTGTACCTGTATAAAGTGTGTGTGTATGTATTGCATGTGGATGTGGGGAGCGGTGGGGTAATGGTTAGTGCACTCCTGAGTTCAATTCCCGCTCACGGCCAAGACCACTGATGATTATTTGAACCGGTCCTGGACCTCCCCTAGGTTGACTCAGCCTCAAGTGAGTACCTGGTGTGGTGTGTAAACATCGCTACGAGAGAGACAAAGGCGGCCGGGCGTGGTTTTGGCCACTCAAGCCCCTCGTGTGCCGTGCCGGCCTTCATTGGTGCTACACGCTAACAGCACTTGCCCCAACAGTGTGTTAAGGCTACACGGGGGGATCTTCGTCTTGTTACTGTACTTATATAAGGTGTGTTATGTGTGCGTGTGGGGAGCGGTGGGGTCGTGGTTAGCGCACCGCGTTACGAACCCGGCGACCTGAGTTCGATTCCCGCTCACAACCCAAAACAGTGGCGAATATCTGAACCGGCTTGGTGCGGTGTGTAAATCAGCCAGAACTGGGGAGACAAAGGCGGCCGGATGTGGTGTGCCTTGCCAGCCTTCATAGCTGCTCGCTACCAGCTCTCACCCCAAACAGGCCGTGAAAGGCGTTGTTCATTCACGTGCAATAACACATTGAATCCAGTCTCTGGGCATGAACAATAAAGGAAATCACCTGTTAGGTCCATGACCAACGTTTACCAGCAACATTTAAACAGAAACAATTCTGCAAATCGAGTCGAACCGGCCAAGGGTTTCACTTTGCTCAAACGCGCACGTGCTGCGCTATTCAAATCTTTAAACAGTAATGCCCCCGTTTCAGTCTCCCCCTTTGACGTCGTTTTCGCAAATACGTCGTCACTTTATGAACACCGCTACCTGATTAGCGTCGCCTCAACTCACGTCGCTGACAGCATCGTCCGTCCTTTCTCGTATCCGTCGCCTCGGCCACCGCCTCCACCTGCCCCCGTGAAGTCGCTTCGAATGACGTCGCCTTTCAGGAACGCATCTCCGACACAAACCGGGGTATTACTCTATTGGCATCAATGTGCGCACGCCGCACATTTCTGCCTTGCAATCTTAGCATTTGCTCTCCAACAGCAACAGCAACAACGACGCTGGAGGGTAGAAGGGCGACGCTCACAACAACGGAGCAGAGTTCCGGACAGATAAAGCCCCACGTGATAGCCCCAAAGGTGCACCTAGCCTGGCACGACAGCTGCGTAGACGTCATCGCAACTTAGTGGTGAATTGCGGCTGTTGTAAGCACACATCTATACGTGTGTGTGTGCATATAGAGAGCGGTGGTGCAGCTGTTAGCGCACAAACCCAGAGACTCGAGTTCGATTCCCACTCACGGCCAGTGACGATTATCTGAACCGGTCCTGGGCCTCCCCAAGGTCGACTCAGCCTCAAATGAGTACTTGGTGCGGCGTGTAAATATCGACCACTCGGGAGACAAAGGCGGCTGAAGCTGGCCACCCAACCCCCTCGTGTTCCGTGACGGCCTTTATAGGTGCTCGCTAACAGCACTTGCCCCAACAGTCTGCTACAGGCTACACGGGGCATCTTTGTGTTTGTGTGCAGAATATGACTTCATAGACTCTCGGTTAACAGCGCTTGCCCCAACAGTCTGTTTAAGACCATCTGTGACTTCGTATATTCATGCATTTTTATGTGTCTGTCGCTGTGTGTGTGTAATTTCTATGCGTGTATGTATATGTGTGTATATGACTTAGTGCGTGTGCGTGTGTGTATATTATTTTGAGTAAAATATGTGCTTAACCCCCTGACCAGATTGAGTTCCTCTCGACTCCTCACATCATCAGCCCAAATCGCTCCGTCCATTAACCTCGCGGGAGAGGGAGAGAGCGGAGAGGGGAGAGAGAGAGATGTACAGGGAGACGCGTATAGGTGTCTGTGTGCGGGCATGCGTGCACAGATGTGCGAGCCTAGATGTGTGTGTCTGTGGTGGTTGCGTGTGTGTGTCTGTGTGTGTGAGTGTATGGGGAGCGGTGGTGTAGCGGTTAGCGCGCTGCGCTACGAACCCGGCCACCCGAATTCGATTCCCGCTCACGGCCAACACCACCAATGACGATTATCTGAACCGGTCATGGGCCTCCCCTAGGTCGACTCAGCCTCAAATGAGTACCTGGTGCAGCGTGTAAACATTACCACTGTGGAGATAAAGGCGGCCGGGCGTGGTGCTGGCCACCCACTCCCTCGTCTGCCGTGCCGGCCTTAATAGGTGCTCGCAAACAGCACTTGCCCCAACAGGCTGTTAAGGCTATTAAGGAGTTCTTTGTCTCTTTTATGTGTGTGTGTGTGTTGTCACCCACCCCCTCGTGTGCCGTCCCGGCCTTCATAGGTGCTCGCTAACAGCACTTGTCTCAACAGCCTGTTAAAGGCTACACGGGGGATCTCTGTCTTTGTATGGAGCGAGGCGTAGACTGGTTACCCAGTAAACAGACTCCATACCCACACACGCACACACGTACACATACATATCGTCATCATCAGCCATGATCAATCCACTGCTGGATGAAGCCCTCCCCAAACACTCACAGCTGTGCAGAGTAGAAATCCATCCAGCACTTGCGCACATGAGTTGATTTAATGTTTGACGCCTTTTCTGATTTGGCTGCTATTATGATGTTCGCCTTGACCACCGGTCATCATCTCCCTCGTCTAGCCGCATGTCCTTGCCCAAGGCCACGTCTTAACGGCGAGAATGATGCACCACGGTACGTCCTCGCTTAACGCGTTTTCGCTATGACGCGCTTCTTCTATTCGGGAACACTCGCTATAATGCGGTTTCTCAGCAGTCGACGACGATCTACTTGCTTGAGCTGCACGTCTGAGCGGTACATTGATACATGGTACGTATGCTCATCTCATTCTAGATTTGAAGCTTTCGTGACTGCAAGGATTCATATTCTTAGGTTTTTTTTTTCGTGACTTTACCGAAAAAACCTAAGAATATGCTCATCTCAGTTTTTTGTCCCATCATGGGGTGCATCGGCACTTTCCTTCGACACATTGGACGCGTGAACTTCACAACACGCAACGCATTCGTCAATAGCATCGTGTGGCCTTCAAAAGGAAAACAAGTCGATTATGTGGGTCGACGTTTCGGGGCAATGGCCCTTCTTAATCGAATCCAGGCTTCCAGAAAGCACTGCGGTCCGCCTCTGTGTACCATCGCGAGTATCTCGCTCGCGAAACAAACAGCGATGATCGGGACACAACTGGAAACACAGCAGAGTATGTATATACATATACACTGTATCGACGTCTGCTTTAAATCCCGAGAATTCTGAGTGGCCACCCCCACTCTGAAGCCCCCCCCCCCGTCCACTTCTCCACCGCCGCCCGCTGTGAAAACACACGCCGCTTCGTTCAGCACCCTCGTCCGCCCCGATCCTCATCTCTCCGGGCCCTTTGCTCCCATTATTATTGAACTTCCCTTTACCATTGCTCTTCCCTTACCTTACATGCTTAACTCTACTCCCCTTGCCGTGGAGTGCCCGAGTATAAACGTTGCTTGTATGTATGTTGAACTTCTTTCACGCCGTACGTAGCCAACCACGCGAGTATAACCCTACGGCAGTTATTGAAGACGTACCCAGACACGCAAAGAGAAAGTTCCCCCCTATAGCCTTAATATACTTCTATGGCAAGTGCTGTTAGCCAGCACCTATGAAGGTCGGCAGGGCACACAAGGGGGTGGTTGTCCAACACCACGCCCAACCGCCTTTGTCTCCCTAGTGGCGATGTTTACGCATCGCCACATTTGAGGCTAAGTCAACCTAGGGGAGACCCATGACCGGTTCAGATAATCGTCACTCGTGTTGGCCGTGAGCGGGAATCGAACTCGATTTCATAGAGCAGCGCGCTAACCACTGCTCGACCGCTTCGTAGCGCAGTGCGCTAACCGCTGCACCACCGCTCCCACCCCCCACGCACACGCACGCACACGCGCGCGCGCATATCCGCCTGGGTTATCTCCCCTTTCTCTAAAGTCGACTTCATTAATAGCTCTGACACGGTTCCCTCTCCTCCCCTCGTCCCCTCTCTCCAGGTGTAAACGCGTCACCGCCTTTACATTAGCTCCGTGTGGGGTGGAGAGAGCGTGGGGAGAGCGGTGGTGGGGGGGCGTTGCGGCTATGCGGAGAGCGGTGGCGCAGTGGTTAGCGCACTGCGCTGAGTTATGAACACAGGCGACGTGAGTTCAATTCCCGCTCACGGCCAATACCACTGACGATTGTTTGAACCGGTCCTGGGCCTCCACTAGGTCGATTCGGCCTCAAATGCGGACCTGCTACGATATGTTAACACCACCATTAGGGAGACAAAGGCGGCCGGGCGTGTTGTGCTGGCCACCCATCCCCTCGTGTGCCGTGCCGGACTTCGTAGGCGCTCACTAACAGCACTTGCCCCAATAGTCTGTTAAAGGCTACACGGGGGATATTTGTGTTTGATTGCATTAAAAAGTCAGTGTCTCCGTGCTCCAATGGTTTGTGAATGAGGTTGTGAATGTGTGAATATGTGAACGCGTGTATGTACAGGTTCGTGTATCATGATGATGATGCTGCTGCTATTGCTGATGGTGATGGGTTTAAAGATGATGGTTATATTCATCTATTGTTGCTGTTAACGATTAAGCGAATGATGAGTGTGATGATTGCGGTGGTATTGCTACTGCTGATGGGGGTGATGATGGTGTGATGGTGGGAGTGATGATGGTGATTGTGATTATGGTGGTGGGTGATGGTGGTGGTGGGGGGTGGTGATGGTGGGTGATGGTGGTGGTGGGGGGTGGTGATGATGGTGGGTGTGAAGGTGGTGGGGGCGTGACGGTGTGATGGTGGGGATGATGATGGCAAGTGATGATGGTGGGTGCGTGATGGTGTGAGACGACATCCCTGAGCCGGGACGAATGGAATGACTTATCTCCCGCAGGTGACGGGGCGAAGTGTGTGCGTCTCTGTGTGTGTGTGCGCATGTGTGTGTGTGTGTGGGTGTCTGTCGCTATGTATGTGTGTAATGTCTGTGCGTTTGTGTGTATGCGTGTCGATGGGGAGCGGTAGTGTAGCGGTTAGCGCGCTGCGCTGAGAATCCGGCTATCAGAGTTCGATTCCCACTCACGGCCAACGCCAGTGACGATTATCTGAACCGGTCCTGGGCCTCCCTTAGGTTGACTCAGCCTCAAATGAGCACAATAACTGGTTCGGTGTATAAACAGCAGCACTGGGGAGACAAAGGCGACCGGGCGTGGTGTTGGACACCCACCCCATCGTGTGCCGTGCCCACCTTCATAGGCGCTGCTCGCTAACAGCACTTGCCCCAACAGTCTGTTCAGGGCATCTTCGTCTTTGTGTCGTTGTGCGTGTCTAGATGTCAATGTGCGACTGTGTGTAATCTATCCTTGTACGCGCGACGTTTGTCGACGAGGATGTTGTGTGCCTCTTATTTGGCGACGCTGCTGCGTTGGCAGCGGTGCACAGGGAACGATTAGTACCAGCGCTAAACACACTCGTCGACAACACTGTAGCCTTAGCACGTGATGTGCTATGAAGAAGGGCCATTGTCCGAAACGTCGCCTGTTATCAATGATCTTTTCTCTTCCTTTCAAGGCGGTGCTGTAAACGAGTGTGTTGAGTGTTTGTTTTCGTGTATACGTGCGTGTGTCCGTTGTACTCTCTGTATATGCACGTGTGATGCTTGTGTTGACACAGCCCTATCGTACACGTACGTATGCTGAACTTATTTCGCACCGCATGTAACATCATCTCCAACTAACTATATTTATTTGACCGGGTAAAGCCCACTGAGCTACATGGCTCTTTTTTCAGAAGCGACAAGGCCACAAATGATAGCTCAACGAAGTGGCTTATCGCGTGGACATTTATAGCAGCCAAGTGCCCTAAAGGTAATGTTCATAATTGTGGAGGGGGGAAAAAACAGAAGGACCGCGGGCAAAGCGACATAACAAACTCCAAATATTCACCCGGCGTCAGGGTCGGGATTGAACACCCACGACCTCCTGTATACCGGGCGAGGCGGCTAACATCTCACCACCCCTTGGTATGCATGCCGGACTTCTATTGCACCGTACGTAACGTCACCTCTAGCCCGTGCCGATGAGTCAAACCCAAGTCCCAGTCGTCAGCGGCTTCATCCCCGCTGCTTGCCACTCGCTGCCACGGTTCAACACCCGATGTCCGCTTGGGCGTCATGCGGCCGAGTGGCCGCGTAATGAATCTGGGGGTGCTAATCAGCCTTAATGAGGTCACCCCTCCAGGGCGTTCACCCACTCCCGCTCACCCTAATTGGTTTGGTGGGGGGAGGGTCGCCTCATTGCGTATGCAAATTAGAGACAGTCTTTCCGACAGTATATCTGACTAGTGAGTCGCACGTACTGTCGCTAAGACTGTCTCGACTATTGCTAATAGCGTCTGTCGTCACTTACCGTGCATGCAGTAACATCGCCCGTCATCAGCAGTCATCGTTATCAACGTCAGGTGCAGGATTGTCATCATTAACACGATCGTCATCAATCACAAGTCATCATTATCAATCACCGCAGTGCTGTCGTTATCCTCAGGGTACCGTCATCAGCATCATCATACATGGCAACAGCAGCAGTAGCATCAGTTGCATTTGTATTATCGTCTGCTTCAGTCGTTTCTTCATCACCAGTATCACCATCGTCTCCGTAAATGAGCCAGTGACTATCTACTGATGGATTAAGGTATTCCCCCCACCGCATCACTTCCTATCTCGAGCTGCTGTGCTGCCGTAAACCCATCTCACTCCTGCTCCACAAGCTGATGATGTCATCTCACTCTGTCTCATCTCGGGCGAGGCTGCTATTCCTTCCTCCATCACCAAGTCTCATCCATCTGCCCATCATCATCCATCCATCCCGATAAGCGACGTGTCCTGCCCACCAAGCCCGCTTACTCTCCGTAACATCTCAAAATGATGATGACCGGCGTTTTTGTATGTCTCCCGCGATGCTGTTTCTTCCAGCACAGAGGAATGCCATCTGGATGTCTCTACCACCCAGTAGAATGACGTAACAGACACATTCCTCAAGTATTTTAAATACTGTGCAATCGTTTCTTATTACGTAGAGTTTAGTTTAGTTTCATGCAGCGTTGTTCATGCAAATCGCATCTCACAATCGCTGAGCAATCACGAACAAGTCGGAGGGGTGGGCAGCCAGGTAGTGAGCCGGCCAACAATTGCCCAACAATAGCCCAAGTTCTGCGGCCCTCTATATATTCAGACATTTTCAGCCAATGAGTTGACCATACATTCACGCGTGCGAGGGAGCAACGCTCAATTCTATGCAGAAGGGACAGCTGGTATGATGAGTGCGCACGTCCTTTGCTGTACCACCTCCTGTCGAGCCAGGGGTTTGGCTCCTCCTCAACGCCCACGGGAACATGTTCGTGATCCACCAAACCTCGCTGCCTCCACAGCGATGGGTCATAGGTCACGTGCGTAGCCACCACCGCCTGGCATTGAGAAATGCAGTCGCTGAGGCCCAAAATAACGTCACGTGGCTCGCAATAAACATAATTATCCAGGTTGCAACAGATAAACAGTGAACGCGTTTCTTTATCGATGCCTTGATCCCAATTTGATTGTGATCGTTTTATCGATGGCGTGGAATGTGATGAATGAACGGAACGTCCATTTGGAATTCACTCCGAGGTAGAAGAATTTCGTGAAATCAGTAATGAAGAAGCAAGTTTCGTTGGATAGATGTGTTCTTGTGTGTGGGGTGTGTGTGTGTGTGTGGCGGGGAGCGGTGACGATTATCTGAACCGGTCCTGGGCCTCCCCTAGGTCGACTCAGCCTCAAATGAGTTCCCGGTACGGGTGTGCAAATATCGCCACTGGCCACCTTCATCGGTCCTCGCGAACGGCACTGCGGGAAATCTTTATCTCTCTTGTAAATCAGTGGTGACCGCGCTAAGGCGTTCAACTCACTCCACTCGAGCACAGGGTTCAATCACAAGCGGCTGAATCCCAAGGTCAACCCCCGGGCCTCTCTTGGCGGCGTCTCAGCGCTCCGCCTCCTCTGAGCCACCCGGGGCCAGTCTCTCCTTCAACTGCCTCGCATCAACACGGCGTGGCGCAACATTCCGAGGGGGTCTCTTCGTGACAACCCGTCACGTTTCGATTTAAAGCTTTCGTGACTGCAGGGATTCATCTTCTTGGTTCTTTTGGTAAAGTCACGTAGAAGGGAAATAATAAAATAATAAAAATAAAACATAATAAAATAATTCTCACGACGTTTCGGCCACAACGCAAGCAGCCGTCCTCGGGTGAAGAACAGGTCTGCCGGGAAGACAGCGTCTGAATGAAACACCCCAAGCTTGGAGCGTATATTTAAGCTGGGTTGGAGGGGGAAGAGCGCCTTGACAAAAGCATTTGCATCACGTGTAATACTCAGGGTGGGCACAATTATAATTAAATGACACACCTAATGTAACACGCGTGGCTGTTTGCGCGGTCTTTGTTGAAGGAGCTGAGAACCGGCACCTGAACTTGTGATTGAAACGAAAGATCTTGCCAGGACAAGCTCAGTGTCGCTAACACAGCCATTGTGAGAGAGCAAGAGAGAGAGAGAGCAAGAGATACCCATACTCGGAACTTGAATTCAGGTTCTCAGCGATGTGGAACTCCGTGTCTCTGACAAGGTCATTATGAAGAACCCTGGCCTCATTATGCACCAAGCAAGCTTCTGATGGCAGCAATGCACACAGACGTACTATCATGTTGAGAAGCCACGTGGTTATGGATGTGAGATGGATGTTTAATGGGTTTCTAAGAACCATGCGGCAGGAGTTTACAGAAAAAAAAGCACAACCCAAAGGCACAGCTTTTCGGTAAGGGGCCGTCCATAAATGACGTCACGCACCTGGGGGGGGGGGGGTCAGACATCTGTGACGATGTGTGACGAGGGGGGGGGGGGGTTTGAGAAATGTGACGTCACATCAAAATGCGCAACTTGAAATAAATATAGACAACACGTTCTACTTAAGTAAATATACTTGTTTTTATAAATGTT